TTTATTTTCAATTTTCAAAGTTTTGCATAAATTATCAATAGCGAAGTTTTTTTTTTTTTAAGAGAAATGCTGAATAAATGAATCGTGTAACTAAAAAATAATCATTTGGATAATCGTGATTTCAATATTAACCAAAATATTTGTGATAATGATTTTTTTCATAATATAAGTGATTTCATTTTCCAATTTTAAACTAAATATTGTGCCTTTTGAATGGGAAAAAGTCCTCAAAAAGCGAGTGGTCCATGCGGTTTAAACCTACGGGAAGCAAAGGACACCGGCTCCACTCCAAAAAAGACAAGATACAGAGGTTTAAACGGAGAGTTTGAGATAGAGTTTGAGCTATATGTGTACTTATATAGTTCATGGTTTCATAGTGATTTCAGTTGCCTTTTTGAAACTAAATATTGGGCGTGACAATTAATAAATACACCGCTAATCAGAGTGACTTTGCCATCCTTTTTTCTACTCAGCAAAAGTTCAAGTCCTCTGGTCTGATGAGCACCTGTATGCGTAATTTTTGATTCAGTGCAGCACTCCAATATCGTTATTTTTAAGTATTGTGGCTTTTGATTGGGCAAAAGTCCTCAAAAAGCAGTTTAAACCCACTCCACAAAGACATAACTAAAGTAGTGTACATAGGCGGAATGATATGTGTGCTTATATAGTACATACTGTACGTTTGACTGATTTCTGTTTCCAATTTTTAACTAAATATTGAGTTTTTTTGAAAGGTCAAAAATACATAAAATGTTAAAGGATACCTGTTCCACTCTACAAAGATAAAATACAGTGGTTTATGTAGACAGCTTAACATAGTTTATGTGTCTATATGTGTGCTTATATGGTTCATAGTTTTTAGTGATTTTAGTTTCTAATTTGAAACTAAATATTGTATCTTTTGAATGGGCAAAAATCCTCAAAAAGCGAGTGTTTCGTGCGGTTTAAACTCACTCCACAAATACAAAACTGTAGCACTTTAATTAAGAGGAATGATCTATATGTGTGCTTAGGTTTGACTGATTCAGTTTCTAATTTAAAACTAAATATTGTGGCTTCAGGATGGGCAAAACTCCTCAAAATGTTAAAGGACACCTGCTCCACTCTACAAACACAAAATACAGCAGTTTATACGGAGAGTTTGAGATGGAGTTTGATCTATATGTGTGCTTATATAGGTCATAGGTTTGAGTGATTTCAGTTTCCAATTTGAAACGAACTATTGTGTCTTTTGAATGGGCATAAGTCCTCAAAAAGAGAGTGGTCCTTACGGTTTAAACCCACTCCATAAAGACAAAACTACAGCACTGTATACAGGCAGAATGATCTGTTCTGTATGTGCTTATACACAGTAGTACATACTGTAGGTTTGACTGATTTCTAGTGAGGTAACAATATCCAAATCTCTAAGTGTGATATTATCACGATGTGCATCTCATGGTACGATATTTATTGCGATATTTTGGAGAGGCTGATATAATTGTAGATGGGACACTTTTTTTGCTTTTAAAATACCTTGACAAGATTTTGAAGTGAATTATTTCCATCATAATCCCAAGAAAACAAGCAAAAAACGTATTTCTTCATGTTGTCTTCACTGAAATGAATCCTGGGATATGTAGTTTCCGATGCTGATAAGCTGTTGCTACTATAAAACCATGCATTTAAGCAAAACAACTTGTAATTTGATATATTGTGAAAGCTTGAGACTTTTGACGATACAATATCACGATATTTCAGTTGTTGTTACATCCCTACTGATTTCAATTTCCAATTTGAAACTAAATATTGTGTCTTTTGAATGGGCAAAAGTCCTCAAAAAGCGAGTGGTCCGTGCAGTTTAAACTCACTTCACAAAGATAAAACTACATAATTTTATATAGGCGAGTTTCAGCTGACGTCATTGTTATTAAAAGCCCGCGTTGCATGCTGGGAAATATTTTGGTTGGAGGCAAGAAACATGGTAGCGTCAAACACAGTGCGTAACCTCGCGTATTTATCCCCGATAATGGTAAATTCCTGCTGCATTATCAGATTCACAAATAGAAGCACGGAAGAAGGAAAATGTCTTTTTCGTATTCTGAGTGAATTAAACGGCTTTCAAACATCCGCAGAACAAACGTAGAAGATCCTAACAAACCGTGGACTCCAACAAGTTCAACAATGCATCGAGACTCTTGGAGGTTTTCATCTTTTCTGCTGTGAATGGCCCAGGAGTTTCCACCAAGTCATTGTGGATTTCGCCGAAGTGAATATTTGTCCAGGTAGTTGGCGATTCTGACCAGAAATTTGGTTTGTTCCACCTTTTGTCGGGGTTGAAAAGGGTGATTTGGCTCCATCGATGCTTATGACCAATTTCTGGTCAAATGGTCTTGGGTCCTCTGCCGTTAGAGTGGATAAATAACCGGGATCAATACCCTTTACGTGCTTTCTCACTCCGTCCGTCATGTTGAATTAGTGACCAAAATAATTCCCAGCATGCAACGCGCGCTTTTGTCAACAGTGAAACTCGCCTATAGGCAGAATGATATGTGTGTATATATAGTATATACTGTAGGTTTGAATGATTTCAGTTTCCAGTTTGAAACCAATTTTGAATGGGCATAAGTCCTCAAAATGTTAAAGGACATCGGCTCCACTCCACAAAGACAAACTACTCCATTTTATACAGACGGTTTGATCTATAAGCGCATGTGTGTATCTTTTGAATGCTCAGAAGTCCTCAAAAAGAGAGCGGTTCGTGCGGGTAAAACGCACGAAGAGCAAAGGTTTCAAAGGACGCGGGCTCCACTCCACAAAGACAAAATACAGCGGTTTATTTGAGCGGCTTGATGTATAACTGTATGCACATAGTGAACAGGTATGAGTGATTTTCAGATTCCAATTTTAAACTAAATATTGTGTCTTTTGAATGGGCAAAAGTCCTCAAAATGTTAAAGGACACTGGCTCCACTTCACAAAGGCAAAATACTGCATTTTATATAGACAGTTTGATCTATAAGTGTATGTGTATAGTACATAGTGTTTATCAAATTTATCAATTTGAGACAAAATATTCTGCGAATATGTTATTGCTTTACTTGGAATGTTCCACACTGGCATTAAACAGTTAAAAAACCTTTTCAGGGAGTGCACTTGAAGATCATTTAATGCTCAAAATGGTGTCTATAACCAAACTAAATCTGTATTAAAACAAAGATTTTATGTTCAGCTAAGCATTTCACATTTTGTTAATTTCAAACTACAATTTTTGGTTTGAGTGATGACAAATTCAGGTAAATCAATTTCTAATTTGAAACAAAATTTTAGAGACGGGACAAGATCTCGTGCCACAAGATCTCACAAGACAAAATTGCCAAAGACAAAAATGACCTTGTGAGATTTTCTCCCCCTGAATTTACCTTTGGCTTAGACAAAAATAGAGAGTTAAGAAGAGCTGGTGATTAGAGCTGGGTATCGCTAAGAAGTTGCAATACATATCTCGATACAGTGCACTTTCGATATGATATATTTCAAATCGATTCGATACGGTTCAATAAAAAAATAAAAGCTAAATCATGGTTGTGATACTAAAAGTCTTAAACCACTTATTGTGCAAAACTCATGAAACACAAACATTCAAATTCATCAAAAGAGTGAAAATGTCCTTCCTCTAAATAAGCAGCAAAACTGTAGCGCTGTAACAAAACAATTTAGTAAAATGTAACGAAAAATACTCTTGGCGATATATCGATACAGCAGCCCATGTTATACTGTATCATCACATTAAATGAAACGATATATTGATATTTTGATATTTTTGCACACTCCTACTAGTGAGTTATACAATTTGAGAAGCTGTAGTTCCAAAAAGCAATAGTACAGTGACCACTAAAGCATTCAATAAAACAAATTAAAATAGTGAATAAAAATTGTGAAATGGACTGCACTACTTATTTATCACAAATTATGTCAAAATCTCGTCTCTTGGAGCTAATCTCGTGGTGTGTCTTGTCTCAGGAAAATTGTGTCCTACTAAATACGAAGTCTATAACCAAACCACGCAAACCAAATTATTTATTAAAGCAGTATACCCACGTCACGGAAATCCTAGAAAAGTCATGGAATTTTAGTATCTCTTTCACTCAACTACAACGTTCTGTTAAGTTCTCATTCGGCTGTTATGATTATTTCTGAACGTCTGCACCTTTTGTTTAAAAGAGACGACAATAAATGCACTGACAGGATTTTAAAAAACTATAAAACCAAACCATAATGTGAGTGGAAAGAGTTAACATTTCATATTTAGCCCTAAAAGTCTTATCAGTTCTTCACATGTAGGGTGTCATAAAGTCACGGAAAAATTCACTTTAGATCATGAAAAAGCCATGGAAAAGTTTTGAAGTTTTGTCAGTGAAAAAGAGTGGGAACACTGTTAAAGGAAGACTCGCTGTGCTATATTAAAGGCTGGGAATTATTTAGTAACGTACACTATGCAAATCTGCCTTGTGATACTCATACAGGATTGATAATTAAGCCACACCAAGAGTAAATTATTAAATCTATTATCATATGAGTATATTTATTTATACATCAAAATATTTTCACTACTATACAGAAGCCTCCTATCTTTTCATAACAAACAGGCCTGTCACAATAATTACTATATTGACTTATCGTTCAGCACGTCAAAGCTGGATAAATATTTTTAGATCATTATTTATCATGTGTACATTTTCATTAACCTCCATGACTCATTACAGATGCAAACTAACAACTTAAAGTGTTTCATTCTGGTATCTATTTATTGATTTATCTTTTCTTTTTCTTTTTTTTCAACATTGTACATTTAGAATCATTTTATGGTTTAAATCTGCTTTTGGGTTTTTGTGTCAGTGGCATAAATTAGTTTCAGTATTATCATTTATCGTCTGTATTTACTTCAACAACATAAAGCAATTCAAAATTTGTTATGGTGACAGTTCTAATAACAAGAACTGTTTGTCTACGTTGTTCCACAGGTGACTGATGGAGTCCAGAACATGGAGGCCATGGAGTACCAGCCCATCTCTGCCCTCAGCACCTCGCTCAGGTCAGAAACAACACTGTCACTTTCAACGGACTTAAAGGGACAGTTTGGAATTTTGGACATAGGGCCTCAATTCCTAGTGAGTCAGAGTGTTGGAGACGTGTGGAGATAATTTTTTTTTTTTTAATATTCCATCCAGTCATCAGTTAGTTAGTCAGTTCTCCTGCCACTAAAAACAGTCTTACCTACTCTACAAAACACCCGAAGCAAATCTACTATTGCACAGGTGTCAAACATAAGGCCCGGGGGCCAGATCCGGCCCTCCAAGACCTTTAATGTGGCCCTTGGGTGATTTTCTACTAAAATATTTTAATTATATTTTCTATTAAAATATTGGTAATTTTTTGCGGTGCTGAGCAGAGCAGCGTCTCCAGCGTCTCTGTACATGGCCCCTCCCACCAGAGCAGCACAAATGAAGACTTGTCTCTTTCCAAAAGGACGATCGTTTTGACTGTTGACCGTGACACCCTCATCAGAAAAATGTCCAAAATGAGAAAAGTGGAGCCGAGTGCAGGATTTTCCAAGAAAAATGGACGTATTCCTGTTTACATACAAGTTAATGTTAAAACTTTGTGTTGAAATTGAATTTTTCTTAAAGTTTCAGGTTGTTCATAATATTATAATATTAAAATAAGAAAGAGTTCATCAATTAAAAAAGATTTCTGTAATAGATTTGCATTTCTCTGCACAAATATTTGAACTTATTGTTATTTTTCGGGGTTTTCTGATCCGGCCCCTTTGGGATCAAAGTAGGTTGGATACGGCCCCCGGAACAAAATGAGTTTGACACCCCTGTACTATTGCATCAGACTGTCGATGTAAACGTCTGTGTCAATAGTTTTATTTCAAACATTATTCTAACCTTGCATCGTATGAATCGTCGCATGTTGAGGGACTATTTTTCTCATATATCAGTCCGCCACTGCTGAGCGTTCTATCAGGAAGTACAGTGGAACTCTGTGCCTGAAGCCATCAGAACATCTCCCTCATTCTCTGCTTTTAAAAAGAATGCTAAAAAGTAGCTTTTAGAAACGCAGATGTGCAAACACTAAAACTTTTGTTGTATTTTTGCAGTCTTATTGTACATTTGTGTAATTTTTTATTGTAACTTTTAAGTGTATTTTCTTTTTAGGATGCCTTTTTGACATCTGGCAAAGGGACTGCCTATGCAAATTAGCTCTTATCAGCGAACTCAGGCACATTTACATTGTTCTGATGTTGATTAATGCGCATTGTCCCTTTTCAAATAAATAAATAAATACAACTCGCTGCTGCTGCTCATAAATCCTTCAAATGCAAGGATGGTTTTACTAAAATTATTCTATCAACACAGACATTTACATGGACAGTCTGGTGTAATAATAGATTTGTTTCGGGTGTTTTGTGGAGTGGGTACGACTGTTTTAGTGGCAGGATAAATATGACCATTGACATGCACTAGTCTAGCAACAGCGACCTCTACAAATACAAGGACCGGATGGAATATTTAAAAGACTGTCTCCACACGTCTCCAACACTCTGGCTCACGAGGAAATGACGCCCTATGTCCAAAATTCCGAACTGTCCCTTTAATTTGGAAATGTGTTTATCCTCTTTACAGAAGGAGATTGTGATGCAAAATTGTCTGTTGAGTGTTTTAACCTTGTTATAGTTGTTTCCTCTTACCATTTACTCACCTGACGTTGTATTTAGAGTGATTCATGCAACTTTAATTTATTTTCATGAGACCATTTTGGTTTTAGGATTCAGCAGAGGCACATAGTTCTTTTGGTACAACTGACTAAGGTGCGGACAGCTCCACAGAACTTTGTTGTGATGACGTTTAACGCACAAGTCAGTGGACATGTTACTTTTACTACGTCGTTTTATATGACTATTGTGATTTAAAATGTACAAATTCTAACATAATAATCCATAAGCACAGACACAATCACAACATATCTTCTTTAAAATCAAGTAAAGTAAATTTGAAATTCACTGTGCCAGATTTTTATGTCTTAAAAACACGAAAATTGTATTGTTTGCTGTAGGAAGTTCTGTTGCATAAATAATTGCATCTCACTCTGTTCTGCAGTCCGTCTATGGCCCACACTTTTATATTTGTACTTATATTTATTTTTTATTTATTATTTATTTTATACTTGTACTGTCTATGACCATGTGCCCCTGTGTCCGTGTGTGCGCCTCCAGGCCTGGAGTGAAGCTGCGGTTACAGGGAGACATCATGTGCCGACTGGGGATGATGCTGCTGGGACCCACCAACGTGAAACTGCTCGGGGGAGAGGTGGACGACCTGGTGGACAGAAACAGTCAGGTACATGGGGTTCTTCCTGCTCTGATCTTAAAGCTGACATACTATTGAATAAAAGCAAGTTTAAAGGTCCTATACTATTGTAACATTGACTCTTGTGAGCTTTTAGTCATGTTATAATGTTGCCTCCTCAATGTTGTGTTGTGTTTCATTCACATTTTTGAGTACTGTATTTTCCACACTATAGGGCGCATTGGATTATAAGGTACACTGTCATTGAATGGTCTTTCACATATAAACCACACCAGACTATAAGGCACATTAAACGAAACACAACAGTTATATAAGTCAGTCAAAATTTATTTAACGCGTTCACAATAACTCTCAACTTTGTTCAATTGTAACGCATAAAAAAAATACTGTCTAAGACGCTAAATTGTTAGTGTATTCACAGTAACTCATAATTGTTCAGTTATAATTAAAAATAACTCACTTTTTTAGTTCATTCCTCATCCACATATCCCTCAAATTCTTCAACTTCAGTGTCCGAATTAAACAGTTGGGTGATTACGGCCTCCAGCACGCCCGTATCCCTCTCGTCATTATCCGAGTCAGTGTTGTTACTGTTCCCTGACAGTTCAGTGATGATTCCGGTCTTGGTGAAAGCTCGGACCACAGTTGATACTGATCCTTAGGCCCAGGCGTCAACGATCCATTGGCAGATGTTGAATTCTCTCACAACTGCTCTATTCCCATGTTTTAGTGCATGATTTATAGCCTTGAGTTTAAAGTGGGTGTTGTGAGCGTGTCTCTTGACAGGTGCATTTTGATATTAAAAGGAATCACAGTATGTATTACTCCGCGATGCTCCTGACTACAGTAGCCGTAATGCTGCAAGTGGTGCGGCTTTGTAGTTTACTAAAGTCGTACTAAGACACCCCAGTAAATTCATATATAAGGCTTGCAGTCGTTTTTTTGATTAAATTAAAGGCTTTTAAGTGCACCCTATAGTGCGGAAAATACGGTAATTCTTTATTATTAGTCTTTCTACATCTTCAAAGCTCAGATTGTGCAAATGAAACAAAACACAACTCTAGATATATTTTTGATGAGGTAAGAGCTTTCTAACATGACTTAAAGCTCACAAGAGTTAATTTCATGTAATGTAGGACCTTTTAATATTGTGAAAATATTGTGTCCTTAAAGGGGAGGTTGTTGTGTCGAACTCTGGGTCTCCCTGAAGAGGAGGAGCCGCAGCCACAAGACGAGGACCCACCTTCTGCACAACAAGGTAACAGCACCGCACTATGACGGGGAATTGCTCACAAATCATTCTTTAGTTATTTTTTCTCAAAGTCACAACCAAAAAAATTAACTCTAGGCCTGATAAAACATTAAAAAAGACCTATTGTGCTTGAGCCTGCTATATGGCTGTAAACTCTGACTCTCGTGCATCATTACGGTATAATCTGAATATTTAAAATCACAATATTCGTCTAAAAAAACGTAATAAAGGAGGCGCACGGAGGAAGGAGGGATTGGGAGGAATGGGGGGGACACTCAAGTTGGGACTTTCAAGCCAGGGGGACGCTCGAGCCGGTGTTTGTTAAAGGGAATGCCGGCCAATCCATGTATCATTCGTTCATTCGTTTTTCAAAATAAAACCAAAAATAAGAAAAATCAACTATTTTCTTCATTATTTGTCTCCAAAACCAAATTAAAAACACAGATAACAATTTGTTTTTTCAGTTTACGAGTTTGTGTTTAAATGAATAATGGAAAAAAATGGATAATGGCCGTTTCTCGTTTTGTTTGACTTAAACTGTGATGCTGGACTGAACCAGGACTAAAACAGGACTAAAACAGGACTAAACCATTTTCAGTCCTGGTGTGGTCCCAGTCTCAGTCCTAGTCTGGTCCTGGTCTGGTCCCAGTCTTAGTTCCGGTCCTGGTCTAAGTCCTGGTCTCAGTCCCGGACCTGGTTTAGACCTGGTTCAGTCTGTATGAGGCGCAAAAGTCCGGCATCACAGTTTAAGTCACGGAAACGAGAAACGGCCATTATCCGTTTTTTCCATTATTCATTTAAACACAAAATCGTAAACTGAAAAAACAAATCATTATCTGTTTTTTCATTTTGGTTTTTTTAGAAAAATAATGAAGAAAATTGTTGTTTTTTCATTTTCTTATTTTTGATTTTATATTGAAAAATGAATGAATGAATGATAGACGGATTCCGGCACATTCTCTCAGCAGGAACGCCCCCCTCCTCCCTCCGGGCGCCCCCACCAAGTGTCGGGCTTGTTTATGTCATTTTACCGATCTTCCCGCAGCGACACACATTTTTTCAGTTTGTAATATCAATCAATCAATATAATCCTCATTTGCTCGCGAACGTGTACTATGAAATCGTATTTACATTTTTTTTTCCTGTTCCCCATGTCCTATAGCATCTTTAACTGAAGAAATATTAATTATTTCCTTAAAAACTAAAACTAAATAAAAGAAAACTGCGGAGCCCACTGGGAGCTGATGTGTCGTAAACATCATCATGACATAGAGCCGTGCAGCTCTCCGCTCCTTCTGTGGACAGCTGCACATCACACTAATTTTTTAAACATTTGAACCAAAATGACTTTACGTTGCTGCAGAATCCTGCATGTGTGACCGATTAAGAAAATAGAACTGGAGAACGTAGAGTAAGTACAGAACTGTGGGCGTGTACTGGTAGCGGTGAAAACGGGAGCTGATTGTCAATATGGAGTCTTGAAAATAAACAATTACAGATCACTCAAACATGCAAAAATCCCTCCAAATACAACTGAGTAAATAGTAAAAGGAATCAATTATAATGTGGTTAAAAAAATGTGTTTTGCTTTAATTAAATGTACCATTTAAATTATTTGTACATTAAAAATGTACAAATATCTGAAATGAGTAGAATGGGGCACAATTTTAAAAAGAAATGTGTAAATTAATAAAGTGAGCACCTAGATTTTTATCACAACTGACTGTCTCAGCTCACAAAGTTCCAGACTGTTGTCCCAAGAACTGTCTTCACACTGTTGTTCTAAAAATAACTTAAGTATATTATTTGGTTAAACCATTAATTCAAATATGATTTTTTAAAACATTGTTCACCTTATTAAACCTGCCTCCTACTCTCACCTGCTCTCCTGTCTACAGTTTTATGGGACTATATTATATTAAGAATTTGATTTCTTAATTTCAGATGGAGGGTCTATACAACTACAATTCTTTTCCATTAAGTCGGGTGTACGCTGTGCGATTTTTGGCCCTTTTTGAGCCGATTTTTCACTTGTGCGTCTGGTTTTGGGATCAGGCCGACTTTTATCTTAATCGTGTGCCTCGTGTAGTAAACGATTGATATTATGACATATTATTATGATATTTTTGATCGTTTCAGTAAGCCCCAGCTCAAACTGTACGACCAAATTACAGGGTTTAAAAGTTCACAGCTCGTGGAATGATTTCAACAGTGCGAAACCCTCACAAGAGGGGACTGGGTTTCAAACAGGTTTGATATTCTTGCGACCTACGATTGTTGATCGGGAGCTGGTCATGAGGTATTAAAAACAGTCGCACAGGTGAAAAATCAGCTCAAAAAGGGCCAAAAATTGCACAGTGTAAACCCAGCTTAATGAGAAGCGATTAATAGCTCCTGATCGGCAATCGTAGGTTGCAGAAATATCAAAGCTGTTTGAAATCCAGTCGCCTCTCGTGAGGGTTTTGCACTGTTGAAGTAGTTCCACAAGCTGTGAACTTTTAAACCCTGAAATTTGGTCGTACAGTTTAAGCTGGGGCTTACTGAAACGATTGAAATGATCGCACAGTGTACATCCGGCATTATTCTTACCATATTAGTCTTATGTATTATTATTTCTTATCTTATTTACACTACTGGTCCACATTTTTTTTCCTTTTTTTTTTCCTGTTTATTTTTGACCAAAACGTATTCTAAACTTTTGATTCATGAAAGTGTCCACTTTTGGCAGATATAACAGCTGAACACACTCACACTTTCTACAATAGAAATCAAATATTCTTCAGAAAGTTCTTCCCAAGTCTGTTGCAGAAGTTCCCATAAATGTGTGGCACTTCAAGGTTGCTTCTGTCCAGTTCATCCCAAACCGGCTCGATGGGGTTTAAGTCTGGAGACTGTGCTGAACACTCCATGTTTTCAAGCTTGTTCTTTTTTCCTGAGGTAGTTTTGGCAAGTGGTACAGGAGCACACAAGCCTAGAGCCTCTCTCAAACCATGAAAAAAAGTGCGACTTATAGTCCGAAAAATACGATAAATGACATTGTACTAACATCGTGAAGTGGTGGCAGACTTATCCACCACACTACCTAAGAATTCCCTCTTTAAATAATTTGTTTCCCTCTCATTTTAGACACCCAGGCGCTGGAGGACTTGGACGATCAGGAGCTGTTGGCCAGTCTGGAGGCTCAGGAGCAGAGGGAGGTGCAGAGGCAGGGGCAGGAGCAGAGGCAGAGGGGGGAGAGACAGCCCCGTGGTCCGGCCTCTCTCCCTGACAGCGCTTATGGTTCTCTGTTTGAAAGCACTCACTCCTCTGGTGGCTCTGCAGCCTGGATCCTCGGCTCCACAGCCTCCTCCAGGTGGGTGGCTGGTAAAGTGACGCTTTGACATTTTAATGCTGCAACTCCACATGGAAAATAATATAGCTTGACATTTTGAATAGAAGAATAATGTTTATCTCAAGCAAAAATAACACAAGAAAAGAACAAGCTTTAAATGCTTTTGAATGCTAGTTGGGGACTTTTGTCAGAAGTGCAGGAACAAGCTTCTACAAAATGAGAAAAAATGAGCAGAGGGAGGACTGGATTGTGCAACAACTGAAAATCAAATATGTTTCCCGGATTTTGAGAAATATCTCAGATTTTGGTAATAAAATCAATTTGTTTTAGTGCTGCTTGTTTATGGAATTATTTACACTTAGACTTTGACAAACTTTATTGATCCACAAGGGAAATTATTTGGACACAGAAGCTCAAACATTACAATATAATAGAACAACAAAGAGTAAAAATATATAAATGGTAATAATAAATTCAAGTAGCAAAAAATAGTAGAACATATGAATAAAATATAGAAATATAGTATTACAAATCTTAGTATATCTCAGTTATATACAAAAGGTTGTAAAGAAGACAGTGCAAAGATAAAATAGTGAGACAGACAGGACATAGTGTTATTTATTACATAAGAGTGAGTTGTTTTTCGGAATATAAGTCGCTCCAGAGAATAAGTCGCACCAGCAAAAAAAACATTTAAGTCGCACCAGCAAAAAAAACATTTTAAGTCGCACTTTCTGGTGGGAAATTTATTTTATGAAATCAGAGACCAGGAACCGACATTTTGAAAGGCAAGTTATAGTAAAAACAATAGAACAAAGAACAACAGACTGTTAACGTCACATATGAACAGTTCTTCAGATAAACTATAACATAAACAACAGAACAAAACAAGTTTACCAAACTCTCCATCTCACTCCAGATCACTAAATCCATTCAATTCTTCATCCTCGGTGTCACTTCTGAGCAACTCCACGACCTCCGGAGGTAAACACAGCGCCGCTTCCTCTTCTGTGTCGCTGTCGTCAGACTCAGCATCAGTTCCAGTTAGAATTATTCCGGCCTTTCTGAATCCCGACAGGATGGTTTCGGTTGTCTTTATGTTTGTTTAAATGTTAAATTTTCAGTGGTACAAAAGTAATGGTGCGATCGACTGACATGATACAGACAGGACGGTGGCTCTTTCTCTTTCTTCTGCAGCCGACATGCGCAGTAGAGCCAAGTGACAGTGGTACAGGTGCGCACAAGACTAGAACCTCTCGTAGCTGTCAGTGTGAACATTTTAACATAAGTCGCACCGGAGTATAAGTTGAAGGACCACCTTGACTTTTTTATGACCCAGTGAAGCGCTCTACCCAAGGTTCTCACAGTCCTGGAAATCCTAGAAAAGTCACGGAAATTGAAAATGTCATTTTCCAGGTGTGGAGAAGTTACTGAATTTTGTAAATTCAATGAAAGTTTTGGAATAGTCATGGAATTTTAATATCTCCTTTACATAACTCCAAAATTCTGTTAAATTATCATTAGACTATTCTGATTATTTCCAAACGTCTGCGCCTTTTGTTTAAAAGAGACGACAATAAATGCACTGACAGGATTATGAATGTTAAAAAACTATAATCCCAACCATAAGGTCAGTGGAAAGGGTTAACATTTCATATTTATCCCTAAAAGTCTGATCAATTCTACACATGTATGTGCCATAAAGTCATGGAAAAGTTTTGAAATGTTGTCAGTGATAAAGAGTGAGAACCTTGTCTACCTCTTCTCTTCATCTAAACATACTACACGATATTTTTTGCACACCCCTAATTATCAATAGTTTCATCTTTTGCCCACCTCCAATTGCAGTTGTAATATCTTTACATTTCTTAACTATTAATACTTGGTCAATTAGGCAGCTACATTATTTCAATATAAGCTTTTGCATCTGGTATTATTTTTATATTTTCTGACACTTCTGCTTAATAGTATAGAAAAATTGTGCCGTATTGGGTTCCCTGGCAATAAGAAGAAAGCGTTTAAGTTAATGACGGTAAATTAGCCTCATTTAAAGTACGGTATTATTTTAGACAACAGGAAATACCTTGTTGTTTTTCTTTATTGAGTCTGATCATATGTAATGGATGCGACCAGGGCAGTGTAATTTATAGTCTGTTTGTCATTATTGCCTCATCAACTATGGTAATGTCCTCTTAACAGAAATAGCACGATGGCCGTCTCTACTGATAATGTAATTTTTCAAATCAGTTTGTAAACGGCAGAAGAAACTCATCGCGCCAAACCCTAAGGACGCAGTTAAACCACTATTTTAACGCTTATTTGTGGCAGTTCATGTTTTTGCATTATATTTAAAGGTTCTAAATTACGCAAAATTGACTCTTGTGAGATTTAAGCCACATTATTTTGTTGTCATCTCCTCAAAAACAGACCTGGAGTTGTGTTTTGTTTCATTCACACGTGAGTAAGCCTGCGTTATTTGTCTGTCTACATCTCCAAAGCTCGAAATGTGTCGTTCCACCTTGTGATGTCATGTAGGGGTAGTTTTCAAGTTAACAGCTGCATTTTACATTTTGTTCAGTAGAGATTGGAAATTGGAGAGTTGGAACAGAGTGTTTTCAGTTTGAGAGAAGAACTCGGCCTAAATATGCCGGGTTTGTGTGTTAAATATCTGTGAATGAAACAAAACACAACTCCAGGTATTGGGGTTGGCAATATCTCGATATTTTAAATATATCGAGATATTTTTTTAACACAAAATGGATTCTGACATATCGTACATATCGATATAATGCTGACCGTATTTTCCGGACTAGAAATCGCTCCGGAGTATAAGTTGCACCAGCCAAAAAATGCATAATGAAGAAGAAAGAAACATTTATAAGTCGCTCCGGACTATAAATCGCATTTTTGGGGAAATTTATTTTATCAAATCAGAGACCAGGAACTGACATTTCATCTTCAAAGGCAAGTTATAATAATAATAACAATAGAATAAAGAACAACAGGCTGAATAGGCATTAAAAGGTTAACATAACATATTAACAATTATTCAGATAATTACAGCATAAACAACAGAACATAACAAGTTTACCGAACTCTCCATCTCACTCCAAATCACTCAATCCATTCAATTCTTTCTCGGTGTCACTTCTGCGCGACCTCCAGAGATAAACCATAGATTCATGGTGTAAACAGAGCACCGCTTCCTCTTCTGTGTCGCTGTCATCAGACTCAGCATCAGTTCCAGTTAGAATTATTCCGGTCTTTCTGAATCCCGACAGGATGGTTTCAGTGTCACTAAAGTCCAGGCTTTGTCCATCCATCCAGTGACTTCCAGGAAAGTTTCATGGTGCATCCTCCCAGTTACCATGAAGCTGTGTTCTCCATCCCCGCTTTCCTCCAGTCCCTCACAAGTTTCTCTCTCACTCCAAACTTTCTTTCTGCTGCTCGTTGACCATTTTCGGCTGAATATTTCACTATTTGCAGCAACACAACGGCTTTTTCTGCAGGAGACATGCGCAGTAGAGTGAAGTGACAGTGGTACAGGAGTAAAAGTAGTCCTAGATACTGACACACAAGTCTAGAGCTTCTTGCAGCTTCAGTCTGAAAATTTTAATATTTAAGTCACACCAGAGTATAAGTCGCAGGAAACACTCAAACCATGAAAAACAGTGCGACTTATAGTCCAGAAAATACGGTATATTTAATCCTGTTTCTCAGAGCGCACGTAAACGCAGTATCCCATATCCTGCAATAACCGGGATACTGATGCACACATATAAGCACTCGTTGTATAATTTGGCATATTTGTTTTTGCAGTAGTTTTGGGGGGTTATAAAGATAAAGCAAAATATATGGAAGTATATTTTTTGCTCCGTATCACTCTACCAGGTCTGTTTGTGACAACATAAGAAGTAAAATAGCGTAATGTGAGCCTTTCGGTGGACTGACCATGAGAAAAACTTGTACGCAGGCGACATACAGTTCATTTAAAGACGCTGTACCTGAGTTTTACTGTCTTTAAAAGATGAAAAACAGAACTAGTTTGCGGTGGTCCGAAGTTCTTCCTCACATCCCTTATTTTGACCTCAAGAGCTGCTTATATAAAAGGACAACAGGACAAATTTTGCTCAAATATTGTGCACAGGCCCTTGAACTGCTAATATTTTTTCTGTATTTATTTTTGACAGAAATGAAGGGTCCACCTCCTCTCTCCGAAGCGACGTTCTTCAAAACAACCGAGCAGGAGGTTCAGACTGGGATCAACGCCATGGCAACCGACAGGAAGTCCCACCCGCTCAAGAGCCATCTACGCAGGACCAGACCATGACCGACGAGGACTTTGCAGATGAGGATTTTGACGACCTCCCGCTGGACGAGCTGGACGGCGTCATTCTACAAGATCCAGGGGCGAATCGAGCTCAAAATGTACCCCAAAATGTACCCCGAAATCTAGCCGCAGCTGCCCCAAATCCAAACGATGACTTTATGGATGAAGACTTGGAGTTTATTGAGGAAATAGAAGCAGCAAACTCGATTAAACAACCTAACTCGAGCGATACAGGACAAAAAATCTCGCTATCCTCTCCTCCATTTACATATATTTCTCTTTTGGATAACTTACCAAAGAAATCTACATCTGGAAAATTTGAAATCGTAGTGAAAGCGTTTATCGTGACGTTACTGGGAAAACTATCCAGCAGCGATGGCGTTTGGAAAGTCGGGGCTACGATTTCGGACGGTACGGGGTATCTGGACGTCGAATTGTCAGACGAGGTTCTGCGGGGGCTGCTCGGGTTTTCCGTGGCGGAGAAGGCGGCTTTAAAGAGGGACCCGGCCCGGAAAGGGGAGCTGGAAGCCGGGATGCGGAGGTGCCAGGAGGGGCTGGTGGACATGTGCTGCGTCATGACCGTGTGCGTGGAGCTAGGGGGCGCTAAACACGTAGTGACCAAAGCTGAACCGCTGAAGGAGCAGGATCTACAAGCGCTGGAGGCGAGGGTCAAAGCTACCAAGTAGTGTTTACACGATACTAAAATTTCAGTTCTGGATTTCGATACCAAGGAATAAACTCTGATACCATAATGATACTAAAAACACTCTTTCTTTAGACAGTAGAATGTAATTTTCATCATCAAATTGTAGTATTTTTCATACTATAAGTTGCTCCGGATTATAAGTCCCTCAAGCCAAAAAATGAGTAATAATAAGTTGCACTTTTTGGGGGAAATTTATTTTATGAAATCAGCGACCAGGAACCGACATTTCCTCTTGAAAGGCAAGTTCTAGTAACAACAATAGAAGAGAGAACAACAGACTGTTAACGTCACATATGAACAGTTCTTCAGATAAACTATAACATAAACAACAGAACAAGTTTAACAAACCCCATCTCACTCCAAATCACTAAATCCATTCAATTCTTCATCCTCGATGTCACTTCTGAACAACTCCACGACCTCCGGAGGTAAACAGACGCCGCTTCCTCTTCTGTGTCGCTGTCGTCAGACTCAGCATCAGTTCCAGTTAGAATTATTCTGGCCTTTCTGAATCCCGACAGGATGGTTTCAGTGTCACTGAAGTCCAGGCTTTGTCCATCCACCCAGTGACTTCCAGGAAAGTTTCATGGTGCATCCTCCCAGTTTCACAAGTTTCTCGCTCACTTCAAACTTTCTTTCTGCTGCTCGATTACCGTTTTCGGCTGAATATTTCATGACTTGCAGGTCGTAATCAGTAAAATCTGATTTTGTTTTTGGGGGCATTTGTGTTCAGTCTTTCTCAGTCGTCTTTATAAGTTTGTTTAAATGTTTAATTTTCAGCGGTGCAGAAGTAACGGTGCGATCCACTGACATGATACAGAGAGAACAGAGGCTCTTTCTGCAGGAGACATGCGCAGTAGAGCCAAGTGACAGTGGTACAGGAGGAACAGGAGCAGCAGATACTCACACACAAGACTAGAACCTCTCACGACTTCAGTGTGAAAATTTTAATATATAAGTCGCACCAGAATATAAATCACAGGAAACACCCAAACCATGAAAAAAGTGTGAATTATAATCCGAAAAATACTGTACTTTATTTTTTATTTCCATGTGTCTTATATGTGTGTAATCCCTCTGTGGTCGAGGGAGGTTCCACAGTGCTCCATGGGAATAAACTAGTCTATGTGCTCTTATACTTGTTCTGATACAGTGAATAGAGCCTATTTCAATACAAGTTTTTGCATCTGTTTAGTCTGATTTTCAAGACTTTTGACAGCACTACTAGCATTTTCTTTAGTTAATTTTATATATTTGAATTGAACATGTTGTGAATGTCCAGTTGCATTTAAAGTTTCAAAATTGCCCAATAAAGCTGCTCAAAATTATTCCAATAAAGATTGTTAAAAGCTGCTATTTCAGAGTAGTTCGTTTCATAATATTTTTTGTATCGTATTGTTTCAGTTACTTAAAGCTACCGTGTGTAATTAGACTGTCTGTCCCTCGATGATATCTGCGTAACAGTCTGATAGTGTCTCCGCTTTGTCCTGACCGAAGACGACCACGGAGCACAGGTGAGCACAGGTCAGGTGAGTGGGCTGCTGTTCATTTTGTTTTTTATTGGACTGAAAACTGAACGAAACCACCAAGTGACAATGACAGGTTACAAAACATCTTAAAATGATTTCGTTTAATGTTACGAAAACTCCATTTCACTACTAAGAAAAGAGGCTTGACTCCGTTTTTGTGATATTGTGTGTGTGTGTGTGATTCTTTCTGTATTGATTACTCCAATTCTAGTATCAGTTAGTATTTGGGTATCAGGGTTTCAACTACTAACAATACTGATGATTTGAATATTGACAATTTGGCTGTTTTGGTCCAGCCCCCAGATATTTTCAGTCTCTATCAAAACAGTTTTACCTTGTGGACATTTTCAATTTGAAGAAAAAGTGAACAAATACATTGTATTCTATACAGTATGTATAGACTGTATACATAGACATGGTTAACCCGCTAATCGCCGCGTTCTAAGTAGGAAGTGAGAATGGGCGCGCTTCTGGCTCCAATTCACTTCGTATTGAAAAACTGTCACCTCTCTCTCTGTAACGGCTGCTGTGAACTAGAGCCCTGCACTCCCACGGGAGGCCAGGACCCGACACAAAACAGCAGTCCCACAAACTAAATATGAGTGTAAAGTAAAATATAAAAATGAATATTGTATGACAATCATACATTATTTGTGTTATTAGGTTCTTTTTTCCAGACCAAGAGTTTGTTTTCATACCTGACAGCTTCGACTGCTCCCTGTGGTCTTCCTCAGAGTCACGTGATGTTTCTGTGACGTGTCGTTCAGCTGATTTAAACAGGTTTTGGCGCTGTCTTCCTACCGGTGGAGGCAGGACGACAGCGCCACCTGCACAACTTCCTCAGGACAGTATCCCAGGTGTGTGAGAGTAAAAAAGCCCCTTCGTCCGGGGTTTATAGTCCCGTGGGCACGTTTCCGTATTTCGATTGCCTCTTTAATCCAGTGACGATGTTTGTTTTCCTCTGTCCCAATGATGTTTGCTCCATCCCAGTCCTAATGTGGTTCATAGTCCCACGGGACTATAAACCGGGACGAGTAAAAATAAAGTAAAAGTAAAATACTTTTTAAGTGCAGGTACTTTAATAATTTTTCTTAATTTTTTTTTTTTTCATGTGAGGCTTTTACTTTTACTTGAGTATTAATTTATATTAATATATTGCCGAACGTAATGGAACGCCACGATGACATGTTTTTTTAGTTGTTTTTTTTTATTAGACAAATTATAATACACAAATTAATAGGCAATTTATAAAAGGGAAAAAAAGAATACAATGACATTTAGATGAAGAAAACCGGGCCATTTTTTTAAATCAGTTTTTCTACTTCCAAACATCTTCTCTTGGCATCTCTTGGTTTTGTGAATAAATCCCATTATTTTCAGATTTGTGATTTCTGTTTTAATAAGATTCTGTTCAAAGTTCACATTTTAAGCACGTCCAGAAGAATTGACAAAAAGACTGAAATCTGACCTGACAAACTGATACAAGAATCACATTTTAGAACATAAAAAAAAACAAAAAACTGCAGCATTTGTGATTTGCTAATTACGTTCATTCAAATTTCAATTGTGATTCATCCTGCAGTCCTACAGTGCACAGATCTGAGCCGAATCTCTGTCTTTGTTGAGTTTCTTGGAGCATTGTACGTTACATAAACCCTATCTCTGTCCTAAACACCTGTATTGATTTTCCTTTTGCTTCTCCACATTTCTTCCTCTCCGCAGTAAACATGAACCCACCACAAAATGCAGTGACTTCTGTAGAAACTGTTTTTTTTTTCTGTAATTGTTGACTTTGCCCAGAGCTCTGAACACCTGTGGAGGTCTAAAAGCATTCGCCTCTCCTCTGTTCACTGCTGTTTTATTTTAAGAAAAAGAAATGTCACTTTTTACTTTTATAGATGTAATGTATGTCTGAGTAAACACCTCTAGGATCTCATATATACTTTTCTTTTTATTGGTCCCTTGTAATTGGACAGGTTTCAAAATGATGAAATTCACAAAAAGTGCAACTATTAAAGTATTGTTTTGGTTTTCTTCTAGTCCTGGATTAGATCAGGGGATAGTCTTATAGTCTATTACTCAAATTCACAGAAGGACAAAAGGACCCAGTCAAGCAGAAGTAAACATCAAGGCCAAAAATTCAAGTTAATGCATCTGATATAAAAATGTATTGAACAGATACATATGTACTCTAGTTTATGAAACTGTTGACCTTTTTTCTGTACCATTTTTGGTTCTAAAGTTACATACGTTTTAAACAGACCATGTATGAAACATGGAACAAAAATTATTTCCCAAATTTCAAAGACCCAAAAATCATGTAAATAAATGGATGTATTTCATCATATCTTGTGTTATTCCATCTTTGAACTGTTGATGAAGGTAGATGATTTTTCAAAAAAAATGTTTTTAAAATGATAAAAATTTGCTTGGAAGGACTGACATGTTTTATAGAAATAGTTTCCTTTCATTTTGAAGCAATATTAAAGTATTCAGAAGAAAAAAGCTGAGAAATTATGTAAAATCCTGCACCTTCTACTTGTTTGCACAATTTTCCCTCCGTTACTTTTCCCTCCGTTACCATGACCTTTCTTAATAAAAAATCTCATTACTCAAAAAGTAAGAGGTTTTTCAATCTAATCTTGTACCATATGGTAGAAAACTATATGAAGCAAATATTCAAACCAGTTTGTTAAGGATATGTAAGTGAGAACCAAGAGTTATCACTGTTTGTATTTATTGCCCAAAAAGTGCTGCATATTTCATTCTCTCCGTTACCGATATGAGTTTTTAAATTTTTTGTCAACAACTTGAAAGAATATCACAGGTTTAACTTGACCCTGTTGGAGTGTAACTCTTTCCTACATTCTGATACTTGACTTATTTCAATAGTCCCTCTAGTTTCTGAATAAGAGACATTTGAATGTAAAAAATCTGCCCCTGTTTCCCTCCGTTACCGCTTGACTGGACCCAAAAGTAAAAACTGGGAATAAGTCATGGGCCAAACTAAATATTTATCGAAAAATTTCAGCAACATCTGCATGTTTTCTCTTCTTTCGAGATAAGTAATGTTAAACCTTTTCTTATTAAAAGTGAGGAGAAAATTCAGTTTGTCGACTGGACAAAAGTTAGTTTGGTTGAAGACGTTTCGCGGCTCATCCAAGCTGCTTCTTCAGTTCTGGTCAGACGCTGGTGGACACTTCCTGCAGGGAGGAGCTAAATAATAAGTTAGAGGAGCTAAATAATAAGTTATAAATAATAAGTTATTTAGCTCCTCCCTGCAGACAGATATAAGGAAGTGTCCACCAGCGTCTGACCAGAACTGAAGAAGCAGCTTGGATGAGCTGCGAAACGTCTTCAACCAAACTAACTTTTGTCCAGTCGACATACTGACTTTTTTCCTCGCCATGGATTCTGCCTGGACGACTGAGGGATTCTTCACACTTTTCTTATTAAAATAAATGTTTAATAATCTATCTGTAGCCGGTGGACCAGCTCTAATAGTAATATGATTAATCTTGCGGGCCAAATATAATTATCTCGTGAGCCAAATTTTGCTCCCGGGCCTGAGTTTGACATGTTTGGTCTATAGTTTTAATGCACAAGTCAAGAAATATTAGGTATTTTGGAGTATTTGGTGCCTTTCATCCTAAACTGTAGGTTTTGGACATGTATTTTTTTTAGACGTGAACGGGAAGAACCTCAGACCCTCAGTGTACAGAGCAGCACACCGTGTAGAAAGTAGAATTCAACCTATTATTGAAACTCTACACAAGCGTAAAGCGAGAATCTCTTTCAAAACACATACAAACCTGCATTTGTTGTTGTTTTTATGCGTTTACCACAGGCACAGCGTGTCCCTGGGACAGTTCTGTATCATTTGAAGGAGCCGAGGTTCAGAAACACTGTCTGCTCTTTCTCTCTGACAAACACAGAGTCTGTGCTGCAGATCTCCTGCTGCTGCTGCTGTGGTCGTCTTTATGGTGATACATTTCTGTGTTTTCATGATCTTACACACGTAAAAACTAGGAGTGTATTGATATCCAAGTGTCATGAAACGATATCAACACAGTATGAACCTCAAAGTACTATATTTACTGTGATATTGTGGGAAAGCTCATGATATGGTGGGGAGGCTCACGATTAGGGATGTAACACTATCCAAATCTCTGTACAATATTTTCTTTTTTCTTTTATCTTATTTTGATAATTTTATTTGCAAACTACATACATTACAAAAACTAGGAACCAAACAACGTATAAGATACAAGACAACCATTACGGTCGAAGATTACATACAAATAAGGACAAAGGTGACGGGCTGGTGACAGTGTGGATATTATGTGTGTGTGTGTGTGTGTGTGTGTGTGTGTGTGTGTGTGTGTGCATGTGTGTGTGTGTGTGTGTGTGTGTGTGTGTGTGTGTGTGTGCATGTGTGTGTGTGTGTGTGTGTGCATGTGTGTGTGTGTGCGTGTGTGTGTGTTTATGTGTGTGTGTGTGTGTGTGTGTGTGTGTGTGTGTGCGTGTGTGTGTGTGTGTGTGTATGTGTGTGTGTGTGTGTGTGTGCATGTGTGTGTGTGTGTGTGTGTGTGTGTGTGTGTGCATGTGTGTGTGTGTGTGTGTGCATGTGTGTGTGTGTGTGTGTGTGTGCATGTGTGTGTGTGTGTGTGTGTGTGTGTGTGTGTGTGTGTGCATGTGTGTGTGTGTGTGTGCGTGTGTGTGTGTGTGTGTGTGTGTGTGTGTGTGTGTGTGTGTGTGTGTGTGTGTGTGTGCATGTGTGTGTGTGTGTGCATGGGGTA